GGGGCATTCCTTTCTGGGGTGGCTGGAGTTTTTACGCTGACCACTCTAATCAGCCTCAGCTTAGCAGTAGAGAAAAAAAAAAAAACCCTTGTTTAATTTACTGACAGACGCAGGTCAGCTTCAGGTGGTATCTTATGGAGAAGGATAGTCTGTAGCCTGCTGCAGTCTGAGGGTGTGGTCAGCCAACCTGTGCTGAAAGGCCGTGTCCACTTAGCCTCGGCCTGACCTTGCCTTGCACATTTGACCTCAGTGGTCACACTGATTGTTTGCTAAACCTGAAGAGAGGCTGTATTTGGCAGTCCACAGTCTTTGTATGACTGATGTCAATGGGGAAGGGCTGTTGCTGGGGGCACCCCTCATCAGAATAGAAAATGGCTGTCCTTCTAGCTAGGAGTCCAAACACTGGAAAAGATCCTGGAAAGAGTCTGCTGGGATGCTGACTCCCCAAAACTCCCCCATGAGCCAGCTGTGGCTCCCTGAGCTGGCAGCCAGCTGGGTATGGACAAGAGAGCAGTGTACAAGAAACAGGGGCTCCTTACACTGGGGGGTGGTGCTGGGATCTGGGGAGCAGAAGAGGACTTCCTGCAGCTGTCAGGTGTATCTGGGAGCTGCAGTGAGGGGGTGTAGAGCAGCTGGCCTCCTTGAGGGGCAGAGGGACCATTTGTCAGCTGTAGGAATATGGGGGGCCTCTGGGGGCTTGGTGGGGCACCTCCTTAAACTGAGGCTGTTATGTGTGTGCAGTGCTGTACGAGATGCTACCCTGCAGCCTGAGCTGCAGCTTTGAGGTGGGAGCATCCCGGCAGAGGGCTTGGATGTGTTTGTTTATTTGGAGGGAGTCTTGGGTCTTTGCCAGATAATCTGGGGAGTAGGCACCCTGATTGTTGTGGGCAGTACACAAGGCAATCCCGGGGGAGGGGTGGAGATTCTCACCACCCCCCTTGGCTGGACTGTCCCACTCTGGCAGGCTGCCAGCCTCCTATTTCCGTCGGGCACCAGGGTAACAGGGCCACATTAGGGTCTGAGCCAGGAGACACCCAGCCAAGGTTGGGACTTGTGTGGGGGAGGGTCTTTGAAGGATCTGTCTGCAGGATCCAGGAAAGACTCAGAATCCAAGCCCCCAATTCAGGCCGCAGTCAAATCCCCATAGACCCAGAAAAGCCCCATGGGGGCTTGTAACCCCTTTTTATATGTGCCGTTTGGTTCACAGCCCCCACACTGAAATCCCAGGGATTGTCTGCAACCGTGAGGGCTGCAGTGGAGGCTAGAGACAGGGAGCCTTGTGTATGGGGAGTCAGTGGGGCCGGTGCTAGGAGGAAGAGTGCCCCCCCATTCCTGCTGTCCTCTTGGCAGTGATTCAGAAAGGTCTTTTTTCAGCCAGTGTCAGAGCCGCTCAGCTGGGGAGGGAGGGAGGGAAGGAGGACAGGCGGGCAAGCAGGCAGTGGGGGGAAGCCCGGGGGTAGGACTAGAGCTGTGAGCACTGCCCTGGAGAGGAGACAGGAGAGGACCCAGTCTGCGGCCAGCTGTGAAGCAAAGCCGGCACTCCGTTCTTCCCCGTTCCCTACTTCTGGTGGGACTTGGGGGATTTCTAAGACAGGTTTCCCACCCCCTGGCTGGTTTCCTTGCTGGGTAGAGCATAAAACTCAGAAGCTGTGGCCCTTGCCTGCCCTCTTTAGATCTAGGCCATAGCTCCTTTGACTTCTTAGGGGCTTCAGTTTGTGGAGATGCCGGCAGCCCGTCGGTTCCCTGGCCTTGAGCTCTCCTTTCCTCTCTTGGCCAGACTGCGGCGACGTCTGTACACAGTGAGTGGTGGTGTGGGGGGGCTGGGGGTGGGAAGCGCACTGGCTGTGGACATGGTTAGCCCCTCGGTAGCAGCACTTTACAGAGGGGCAGGGTAGGCATGACTGAGGGGCACCTTCCTGAGGCTCATGGAGTGTAAGCTGGAGTGTCTTCCTTCCTAGCTGCCGCAGTCGTTCTTGGGCGCCTGTGTGCACGCCTACGTGTATGAGTGTGTGGCCAGTCTGGTGTGTGCTTACACGCAGGCCATGCAGCTGCATGTGCCGTATACAGGTAGTGTAGATTTCCTACCATGTTGTGGGCCAGACCGTCTGAGCTGGGAGTCGCTGCTCCAGTGCCCTGGGCATCACAGACAAAGGAATGTGGCTGGAGGGAGTCTTAGGGGCTGTCACTCTGGGCTTAGCAGTAGCAACGGGACTAGACCCCCACCTGACTCCTCTCTTCGCCAGGATGTCTTCTAGGCTTCATATCTCTCCCTCATGGGTGCCCTGTCCCTGGGTTGGGGACTGGAGAGGGGAGTGTCCAGCTGAGCAGGGAGGTGTGTTGGCTAGTCTGTGAAGGAAGTGGGGGGACAGGCTGGGCTGTGCTTTCTAGGTAGCTTCAGCAGGGCCTCTGGGTTTCACTGAGCCCTCCCTGACTGTTCAGGGTGTGACTTTGAGCTATGACCTGGAGTTTAGAGACGGGAATGGGGAGTTTGGAGTCCTACGGCTTGAGGGTGTGGGAGGAGAGGAAGACCCGTGGCTGCTTCTCCTGATGGGACCAGTCGCTCTCATCTTGAAGCTCTGCCACATAGCTAATGGGGCCACTTCGCTCCAGGCCCAAGGCCCAGTGGTGGAGCCCGGTGCAGTGATTTTTCACCTTGCACCTCGGGCTTTACTCTGGAAAGCAGAAGCACACGTCTGCTTAACCCCACACACTGTTTGCAAACAGTTCATTTTGTTGAGGACGAATGCGTCAGTACAACTAAACGTTTAGAACTGACGTAGAAACTGTAGCTTTCTCAAGTTTTTTCTCTTATTATTTTATGTATATGGGTGTTTTGCCTGCATGTATGTCTATGCATCGTGTGCGTACAGTGCCTGAGGAGGCCAGAAAAGGAAGTCAGATAACCTGGAACAGGAGTTACAGATGATTTTGAGCTGCCATGTAGATGCTGGAATTGAACCCTGGTCCTCTGGAAGAATAGTGTGTGCTCTTAACCTCTGAACCATCTTTCCAGCCCCATAACTATGGTTTTGAAGTATTAATATATTATTTTTTTTGCTTCCCTTCACAAATACAGTTCATAGGAATGTTACATATTAAGTATATGTAGAGTCGATAAACACGGTGCCAACTATAATATGTGGAGAAATAAGAGGAAAATAGTTTGTAACTCTTGATGTATTCTGTCATGCACTAGCTGTATTGTGAGGGACCAAAGAGGCTCAAGCCTCAAGAGAGTCACTGGGAGGGGTTTTGTGATAATAGGGTATATTCCCTAATTTTTTTTTTTCTGATAGTGGACTTTTACTATATTCCAAAGAGTAGCGTTTTCCTCAGTTTACACAGTAAACAGTTCACACGGTTCAGGAAAATCAGGCTACAGTAAAACTACAAAAGCTTTTTCTTGTTTAATGTACAATAGAATCTAAGTCTAGGTTTGGATCATTCTAATGGTTTCACCTGCATGAACTAAGTTGCATGGAATCCGTGTGTTCAAATCTGTCCTGTGCATTGCAGAATAACTCATGTTCTTACCCCTTACTACCTGCTAAATGTCACCACCCCCCACTATGACAGACAAAAATATCTTCTATTTGGAGGGTTGTTCAGCCCTTAGAGAACCATCCAAATAAAGGGTTACAGCTTAAAGTTTGGAAGCCGCCCACCAGCCCAGTCTCCTTGGTGGAAGAGCCAGGGTTTGAACCAAGGGCTTGTCCTTCCTATCCCTTACTCTCTGTGGAGCCCTGAGGTGCAGGGAAAATCTGAGCTGCAGCTCCTAGCACTGTTGGCAGGACCACTGGGAACTGTGGGGGTAGGAGGCTCAGGCTGGGCGGCCCATTCCTCTTACTGCGTCTGTATTGAGAGTGCGCTATGTTCAGGAGCGGGTCACCTGGCCCCAATAGACAGCTGACCTTTTCACCTCACCTGTCTTCTTCCTCAGGAACTGAGGTGAGGCCAGAGTCTGGTCTGCGAAAGTGCTTATTGTCAGGTGTTTTACTCAAACGGATGGGTTTGACTTTAGCTTTGAAGGTGGTCTTGGCCTTTTCCTCTGGACCTTGGACCTTGGACAGGTACTCTCAGCATTGCTGGTTGTAGCCTGCAGGTACGTTTTGTTTTGCCTGTACGTATAGACTGTGTGTGCACTCACACATATTTTAGAGTTGCACTGTTTGGCGTCATTTAAAAGTTGAGACAGATAAAATGTTAAGTGAAAAAGGAGAAACAGCAGTATGGGTAATGTGTGACTTAAAAGGACACTTAGAAGACATTGGCAGCTGGCTTTGGGGACTGGGAGCTAGGTGGCTGTACAGGAGGAAAGAGAATGAGGTTCCCTGTGCCTTTTGAGTATTTACCATGTGCATGCGTTGCCATTCCGAAGATATTTTTGAAGGTAAGATTTCATACAAATTGTGACATCTGGTACTGCAAAACTGACAAGTTTTGGTTAAAGTCTGGGCCTTAGTCTCTTGGGGCAGCTGTTTAGGGAAGCGAGCGCCCGCTTATTGGGGTGTCTGACCCTCCCTGGTCCACACCTCCCACTCTCGTCTTCATCTTATGGCACTTTAGGCACCTGGGTGTTGCCCGTGGGTCAGTGGGTAAGGCCTGGTGGTGTCAGGCAGTAAAAACTGGACAGATCTTCTGTGGGGTCTGTCTGATGAGGGGTCCGGTGGATAGATCTCATAGGGCCACTGTACCCCACCCTGACTTCTAAATGAGGTTGTAGGAATAAGATGACTGATAACTGTTAATCTGTGCTTCAGGGACCTGTGATTCCCTGAGGTCCCTGAGCACAGTTGATCTCAGTTCACTCAGACAGAGAGCACAGATTTGGGAGTAAGACTTGATTCCTGACTGCTCTGGTCTGGGACTCATCTCCGCTGTTTAGGGGAACAAGAAGGTGCTTTGGGTTCTATAGAATGTGGGTGAGCCACATTGATGGCCAGGTCTCCTGCCACTTGCTTACATGCCCTGGTCCCTCAGCTATGCTTCCTTTTCCGCAGAGGCTGGGGAGCAGCAGCATGCAGCCGGAGGAGGGGACGGGCTGGCTATTGGAGCTGCTGTCCGAGGTGCAGCTGCAGCAGTATTTCCTGAGGCTTCGCGATGATCTCAACATCACCCGCCTGTCCCACTTTGAGTATGTCAAGAACGAGGACCTGGAAAAGATTGGCATGGGCCGGCCTGGTAGGTAGCCCGTGGGCCTTGCTTGATCCTCTTGACCATTGACTTGGTACCTTTAGTATGGCCTAGGACACAGAAGAATCTCTTTGTCATGGCAGCTGAGAACTTTGTCAGCTGAGACCCAGAGCCCCTGAGATGAGTGGAGGCATCAGTAGAGGTGCTGGTCACAGGGTTCCCTGGGAATGGCTTCTGGTTGTAAATGTGAATTGGAAAGTCCTTTCTGTACTTTGTGTTTTTGAGACAGATTCTCAGTAAGTTACCCAGAGTAGCCTTGAACCTGTCCATAGCCAAAGCGGACCATGGACTTAAGTTCCTCCTGACTCGGCTCTCTGGTAGCCGGGATTATGCCTTTGCTCCCAGGCCTTCTTCCCAGCCTGCACCATTTGTGTTTGAGCAGATATTTGTGGGATGTATTTCCGGTGTCCCTTTCGTCTCTTCTGTTTGATTCTGAACACCAGTGGGGTCAGTGCCAAGAGCTCTACAATGAGAAGGGAAGACAAAAACTCTTAGACGGGGCCAGAGAGATGGCTCTGTCGTTAAAGGCGGTCAGGTTGCACCTCCCAACATGAGGCATGTGCATGTACCCTGACACACACAATCCATAAATAAGAATGTAAAGTCTTCTAAAGTCCATCTCTCAGATGGTTTGCTAACACACAGAAACCTTATCTTTCGTTTCTTTCTAAACGGAATCTACCAGTTGCCGGCTAGAAGTCATGGCATTCTCTGGATCATCAGGAATCATTGGGTCACAATAGAATGCGCTTGTTAAAAAGCAAAGTGCTGGGTTTGGCACCACAAACGGGTGTAATGGCAAACACCAGGAAGCCTAGCAGAGGAGTAGTAGATCAGTCTTCAGCTGCCTAGCAGATTCAGCCATCCTGGGCTACTGTAGACTGTCTCAAAAAACACAATCAGAAACCTTAATGTGTTCAACTCAGAAGAGCCATGTGTTTTGTAAGAGTAAAAATGACACTAACTTCTGCTGCTTTAGGCCTGGGTAGTTTATCTGTCTTAGTGTTACCGCTGAGTGCTGAAACATCACGATCAAGGCAGCCTGTGGAGGGAGGGGTTCATTTGGTTCACACTTCCACGTAGGAGCTGTCGAGAGGACACGATCTTGGAGGAGCTGATGCAGAGGCCACGAAGGGGTGCCACTTACTGCCTTGTTCCTCATGACTTGCTCAGCCTGCCCAGGGGTGCCCCTTCCCCGTCAGTCACTAATTAAGAGGATACCTTACAGCCTGGTCTTCTGGAGGCACTTTCTCAACTGAGGGTCTGTCTCCTCTGATGACTCCAGCTTGTGTCATGTTGGCGTGAAGCCAGACAGCACGGTGCCTGGTGTCAGCAGTGTAAGGATATTTTATGGGAAATAAACCATAGAATGGAGGGAATTCTGTATTAATCTTTACCTGATTTGTCTGGAGAGTTGGAGAGTCAATTGCCCGCCATGACTGTTCAGTTTTGATGAAAAGACACCTCCACCCAGCTTGAGAATCACGCAGAAGTAGAATGCAGAGATTGGGTGAATGAAATTCCTAGTTGTCTGAGCAACTAATTCAACTGGTGTCCGTGTGCTGAGTGGTAGCTACTGGTGGGCCTACTGGAGGAACTGAGGAAGCCTGCCAGGTGGATAGCAGTCTTCCTGACAGCCCTGGGCTCCTTTTCCCTCCTCGCAGGTCAGAGGCGTCTGTGGGAGGCTGTGAAGAGGAGGAAGGTCATGTGCAAACGCAAGTCGTGGATGAGCAAGGTGCGTGAGTAGACTGTGTGGGGGCGGAGGGGCACCCCAAGGGCCTCACACCGCTGGCGGGCCTAGGACCTGCATTCTGTCCTCAGCAGGTGTAATCTCACCAGCTCCTGCACACTTTGTACAGACCCCCTCCTCCAGGCTTTTATCTGGCAGGGCACTTGTGGAGCTGCCTGGCTAAGTGTCTGTCTCCGCCACAGACGGACACGTGAACAGCCTCTCTGTGTACAGGGGCAGGGACTTGTTGACAACTGTCCCTTTGAGTCAGGCCAGTGTCCATCGTAGGGTAGCAAGGACTGTCTGGACATGTTGGCTTTGACATGCCGCCCCGCGTCTCCCATGTTCTCTGGTCATCTGGCTCTGCTGACGACTTCCTTCCCCACAGCTCCCCGCACCCGTCCTAATTTGGGTCTGTGGTGTTGTGAGTCCCTGATGTGACTCAGTGGAACTTTGCCTATTGTCTGGAAGACAATGAGAGAGGAAGTGAGCCAGCCAGGGCCTCCCTCCCCACTCCTGGCCTCAACTGGAGTGGGGGGTGAGCAGGACAGAACAGCCGGTCAGGGATTGGGCAGTAGAGATTTCCTGGCTGCAGTTTGGCAAAGGGGCTGTCTCTTGAGAGCCTGTGGCCTTTTCTGGGGACACAGTCCTGGTCCTTTGCCCAGGTTTTAGTGAAAGATGAGTGTGTCAGGCTGATTGACGGTGGGAGAGAGAAGCAGTGTAGCAGCTTTGGATCTGTGCCTGACTCATAGTAGGTCTCTGGGTGATCAGTGCCCTTCTCCCAACGGTCATGTCTCCAGGAAACCAGTGTTAGCCTCGTTACCCAGCTTACCTTGCACGACTGTGGGAAGGGTCCCTCCTGGCTGCAGTGGCTAAGGGAGACCTAGTATATTAGTAATTCTAGTTACTGGACCTCAGATTTGATTGCCCTTAGCACATGCAGGAAGGTGGCCAACCTTGGGGAGCTGAGGCCAGTCTGCAGCCTGGAGCTAGAGCTCTGGAGGCCCTCGCAGACTGCCATGCCCAGGCCTGCTCATGGCCCTTTTCCCGTCTCTTGACCTTTGACACTTCCTTCTCAAAAACAGGCCTCAGAGACCCCTCTAGTCTTCCATCCTTCTCAGCCTCTGACTCTAGGCTCCTCTCCAGAACCCCAGCTGTCTTCCCAGGCCCTTCTCCAGAAAAGACTCACTTCATCTGCACCACACACACACACACCACACACTCATGGTTCAACCTCAGACTAAAATTATCTTCTCCCTTGGGCAGGATGAAGGGCAGGCGACTCCCCAGGGAGGGTAGAGACAGACAGCGCCAAATGGTTAACCCAGAGAAGGGGCCAGGGCTAAAAATGGACAGGGAGGTGTTTGGAGGGCCCCTCAGGCTCCTACCCTCTCTTTGTGTGCTAGGGGCAAAAGTGTGTGATGAATAAGAGGTTCAGGAAGGGAAGGGTAGGATGGGGAGGAGCTGAAGACCAGGGGTGGGGGGTGTACCCAGAGGGCTTTGTGCTGTCCATTCACAGACCAGTTGGGGTCACTCTAGCCATAAACTGTACTTTTACCTGTTGTTGACACCTACCCCGAGGCTTCAACTGTGGATTCTCAGGGTATACTCGGGAGGAAGTATGAGCCTTTAATGGGCTGCCCCTGGGCAGCTTGGCAAAGCCAGGAGCTGTGTGAGGCCTACCAGTGGGGTGGAACTGAGTGGTTCTGGGGCTCTGGGTTCCATCTGGCTCCTGGCTGCCTTCAAACAGGTGTTCAGTGGAAAGCGGCTGGAGGCTGAGTTCCCTCCCCATCACTCTCAGAGCACCTTCCGGAAGCCCTCACCCACCCCAGGGGGCCTGGCAGGGGAAGGGACACTGCAGAGCCTCACCTGCCTCATCGGGGAGAAGGACCTGCGACTCCTGGAGAAGCTGGGAGACGGCTCCTTTGGAGTGGTGCGCAGGGGTGAATGGGACGCCCCTGCGGGAAAGACGGTGAGCTCTGTGTGGGTTGTAAAAGGACTCGCCTTCAGGCTTAACTAAGCACAGCGGCTTCTTTTTTCAACCCTAAAAATATTTTAGTTTGCTTACTGTGAAAGATGGAACTCTGAAAAGTGAAAGACCAGTGGTCTGCAGTTCCGTTGCTTGACTGAAGCGGAGCCGCGGTTGTCTTCTCTCCAGCTCCCACCCCACAGATGTGTTCATTTAGATACATCCCCCTTTCCAGGGGAGGCTGCTGCTGCAACCTGCAGTTCTGTAGCTTGCAGAAATAGCTAAACAAATTACTGTCTTCGAACTGCTCATCTCTTCATGGACTGTCACTGCTAACTTGAGAATTTTCCTAGAAAGAGCAGGCCCACATTTAATGACCTTGAGAGGTCAGTCAGCCCTGTCCCCACGTCAGGGACATACAGGCTCACCCACTCAGGTGAACAGGTCTGAGACAAGGATCTTTGCCCCGAGTTGGAAGGAGCAGTTAGCTCAGTGTTGGTGACCCACCATGAAAGGTCTAACTCCCTGCTAATCCTGACAGGTGAGTGTGGCCGTGAAGTGCCTGAAGCCAGATGTGCTAAGCCAGCCAGAGGCCATGGACGACTTCATCCGGGAGGTCAATGCCATGCATTCGCTTGACCACCGAAACCTCATTCGCTTGTATGGTGTGGTGCTCACGCCACCCATGAAGATGGTGAGAGCTTGGGTAGGAGGGAGGGTCAGAGAGCGTCTCCCACCACGCATGGCCAAGGGGTTTCCAGGGTCCTGCCCAGCACTGCCATTTCTAGATTTTCTAGTACCCATTGACAAGGAGCTGTGCCCGTAGGAAGGGCTGGCCCTTAACTGGAGTTGGTCTTTGGAATTTCTAGTCTGACCCTCTTTAAGGTGCTGCTGTCTGGGTCTCAGATCCCTGGGGTCGCTGGAGGGACAGGGCTGGGAACCTGTGGAACTCTTGGTAACTCTGAGCAGACAGGTCAGGAAGGAGCATTACGTATGGCTATGGCAGATGCCCAGAACGGGACCGGAAACCTTGCCTCTCAGAGAGTAGAGATCTGCTTACCCTCTCTCTCATATCTGACCTCAGGTGACAGAACTGGCACCTCTGGGGTCTCTGTTGGACCGACTGCGTAAACACCAAGGTCATTTCCTCTTGGGGACTCTGAGCCGCTACGCTGTGCAGGTGGCTGAGGGCATGGGATACCTGGAGTCCAAGCGCTTCATCCACCGGGACCTGGCTGCTCGGAACCTGCTGTTGGCTACCCGCGACCTGGTCAAGATTGGAGACTTTGGATTGATGCGAGCACTACCCCAGAATGATGACCACTATGTCATGCAAGAACATCGCAAGGTGCCCTTTGCCTGGTGAGGGGCAGGTGCCGCCGGCCTGTAGGGCCTGAGTTCCACCCCAGGCTCAGAAGACCCACAAGCTTCTGGGCACTCTGTTATCCACCATAGGACTGTCTCTGCCTTGGCCTGTCCTTATCTGTTCTGGGCCTGGGGTACCTTTCTTATCTACGTACATGTTTGCACATCCATCCAAGGAATTCTCCAGGGGGATACAGGAAGGCCCAAGGGTGACTGCTCTTGAGATATCAAGGGCATGGTACTTGGTAGCATGCTAAAAGGCCCTGTGGAGGGCTTGCTGTTAAATTTAAAATGTATGGGGAATAGCCAGGAAAGAATGGTCAGTGGGCGTGTTTAGGTCAAGTTGGCCCAGGCAGGAATAGATTGTGCTGCCTCTTGAAGGCTGAGACTGGTGCTATTCACCTGTGTGTTGTGGTACCTACCCGCCGTGGGCCCTGGCGGGGCTGATGTTTTGCTTAGATGATAGGATCTTCTGGTTCCAGAGGTAGGGTCCACAAGAAGCCTTCCCTTTGACCCTTTTCTATTAGGTGTGCCCCTGAGAGCCTGAAGACACGGACCTTCTCTCATGCCAGTGACACTTGGATGTTTGGGGTCACACTGTGGGAGATGTTCACATATGGCCAGGAGCCCTGGATTGGCCTCAATGGCAGCCAGGTGAGGGGACTAGGGGCGGGCTCCATAGGGTGGGTGGGAGTCATCCTCCCCTGGTTTCCAGCCTGACCTTGTTGGAACTGATTCTTTTCTGATCGACTCTCAGTATGCTCTGTGTTGACAACGGCCTCTCTGAGCTTAGCCAAGCGAGTGGCTACCGAGAATGTCACAGGACAGGGATGGGGTGGGAGGACATGGATGAGGGATGAGTTCTGGGCAGGGCTAAGGCTGGAAAAAAAGGTCTTGGGCTCTGGGGACACGTGTGCCGTGGTGGCCAGGTGTGTCATCTTCAGCTGTGGGTCCGGTTAGGGAAAAGCCGGTGAGGAGACGAGAGCCCTGCTGCCCCTAACCTGTGCACCCTCCTGCCTGGCAGATCCTGCATAAAATTGACAAGGAAGGGGAGCGCCTGCCCCGGCCTGAGGACTGCCCCCAAGACATCTACAATGTCATGGTCCAGTGCTGGGCCCACAAACCAGAGGACAGACCCACTTTTGTGGCCCTTCGGGACTTCCTGCTGGAGGTGAGGGCGGATCTGCCCATGGTGGCTGGGGAGCGCAAGAGGGGGCATCGGATGCTTAGCTTGGACCGGACGTGATCTGTTTGTGCCCCAGGCTCAGCCTACTGACATGCGGGCCCTTCAGGACTTCGAGGAGCCAGACAAGCTGCACATCCAGATGAATGACGTCATCACTGTCATCGAGGGAAGGTAGGGGCGTCCCTTCCAGGGCACAGGCTTGAGAGGTGCATAACAGCCCCCTCTGCCTCTGAGAGTTTGTGGCCGAACAGAGGCTGGGGCAGCAGCGTCGCTGACAGGCCTCACACTATTGAGAGCCGTCTGCACAGATTTTCTCTGCTAGCCCCAGCCCAGATTGGCCTCAGAGCTGGGGGTCAGCGCCAGAATCCCCAAATGTTTCTTGTTCTTCACTTCTGGTGTCTCCAGCGAAGGGTTCTGTTCTTGGGAGGTCTCCTGTAGCTCAGGCTGGTCTCAAATGCATTATCCTCCTGCCTCTGCCTCCCAAGGACTGGGTTGTGAGTGTGAACAGCCATGCTTGGCTGCTCACCTCCAGCCTTTCAGGCCCCAAGCAGCCTCTCCCTGCTCTGCCTCGCCCTTTTGGCAACTTTCCATCCTTCCTGTCAAGGCCCCTCCCCGCCACCAGGGTTTCCCAGTCACGGTCTCCCTCCATCCACTGCCTGGACCTCTGTCCCATTCTATTCCCAGGGCTTCCCCATGAGGACTGCTGTGTGTCTGACCTACTTGAAACTCAGGTCACAGCCTACGCGCAGTATCCCTTAATCAGCCTACCTGCATTCCCCACGTTTCTAGTTCCAGCCCCTGCCCTGGCTCTACCCTCTGCTGGTCCTGCCTCCAGTCATCTGATCCCCAGAGTGTCTGAGGAACTGGTTGTGGGTAGGGTGTCTTTGCATTAGCACTGTGGGTGAGTGTTGAGGACCAGGAAGAAGAGTGAGGCAAAGGGAGATTCCCTGTACCCCTTCCACTGACTCAGAACTGGGTAAGGATGCCTGCAGGGGGCCTTCAGGTATAACTTGTGCCTTATTGGGGTTGGTGAGTGTGGTGAGTCCCAGCCTGAGTCAGTGGAACGGGCGCTGGAGCTGGGTGTGTTAGATTTACCTGTATCCACTGTGACCCCTGTCCCACTGCCTCAGGCCAGGGCTCTCATGTTGTTCTGTTCTTGGAACAAGAATGACGCCCTAGCTGGTTACAGAGAATGGGAGAGGGTGGTGATAGAAGTGAAAAAAAAAACTGCTCAGGGAGACGTGGAGGCAGGAAGGAGCTGTGAGTAGGCTCAGGGAGACGTGGAGGCAGGAAGGAGCTGTGAGTAGGCTCAGGGAGACGTGGAGGCAGGAAGGAGCTGTGAGTAGGCTCAGGGAGACCTGGAGGCAGGAAGGAGCTGTGAGTAGGCTCAGGGAGACCTGGAGGCAGGAAGGAGCTGTGTGCGGGTTTGGACCTGAGGGGCAAGTCAGAGGCCTAGGAGTCAGTAGTCTGGAAATAGGCTGAAGATAGGAAGATTTGAGGATGGGTCGGGGCAGAAGCTGGCCTGTAACCATTTCCACTGCCAGGAGCCAGAGAGCCCTGGACCCGGCTCGTCCTTGCGCCCCTCTGGCCTCGAGTCTTCACTAGTCTGTCTCGTGCTCTACTTGGAGCCCGTGCTCCCTGGGGTAACGCTGGAGTTTCCCAGGTGCTTCTGGACGTGGTGCCCTTGGTCATGGAGAGCAAAGCAGGCTGCAGGAGGGGCCAGGGGAGTGTCTCTTCTTGGGAGGTTGTCCCTGGTGTACCTTGTCCTGCCCTTCCGCCCCAGGCTCCCATTGCCTTCAGCTGCTGGTAGTCTTCAGCTCCTAGAACGCGTCCCTCTGAGTTGCCAACTCTTACTTGGTCCCTGGAACTGCTCAGGAGGTGGGAGGTGAGGGACACGAGACTCCAGCAGCCGGCAAGCCTCGGGAGTGGGCCTGTGTATCTGTGGTTACCGGGGTTTTCCTCCTTCTTTTCACCCCCAGATTGCTCTGTTTGTTTGCCTGAGTTGTCTCCATGTCCCCGGTGCATGAGCTTTGAGAGTCTCTGGGTTGGGTTTGTCTCTGTGGCTCTTCCTCTGGCTCTTGCCTGTCTTCCTTGTATTTCTCTCTTCTGGCGCTGTCTTCAGTCTGCTTCCTAGTTCCAGCTCTAGGATGCAGCTTGTCCCAGTGCTCAGCTCTTCTCGGGGTACGGGGCAGGTAGAGGATACCTAGACATCCTGTGAGCTGAGCTCAGGGAACTCTGTCTAAGTTTGGAGGTACGCAGAGCATGGTGGCACATTCCTTTAATACCAGAACTTGAGAGACAGAGACCAGAGGATCTCTGTGAGCTTAAGGCCAGCGTGGTCTACACAGTGAGTTCTAGGACAGTTGGGGTTACATAGAGAGACATTGTCCAAAAACAAACAAACAAAAAGCCCTAAAACTAAAAACAGACGTGGGGATACAAGTGATGATAGGCCTTTCTCAAGGGTCTTACTTGGGGGGGTGGGTGGGATGGCTGGCGGCCCTGTTTTTTTCAGAAGTGGTATTGAGTGGGGACAGAAGTTTTGAAATCCATTTGCAGGTTCTTGGCCTGGCCTGGCCTGCAGCCTCCACTTCCTGTAGTAGGAGGGGTGGAAGGCACTCATCTTTGCCCTCAGAAGGGACAAGGTAGGGCTGTGTGTGTTGTGAGCAGAATGTTTGGGTAACATTTCTACCTCTGCTGCGGCTCTCTGAGTTAGAGAACACCACAGGAGGTGGGCAGAGTAGAGCTGAGGGGTAGCGGCCAGGGAAGGGACGGGCTACTTCATGGAGGAGCCGCTGGTGCCGGGAGGTGCTGGGCAGGCCTTGCTGCCCTGTGCTTTTCACGGGCAGCTCTGTGTGTGCGTTAAGGATCCTTTCTCTCCTTGGAATGGCTCTGCTATTTTCAGATGAGATTGTTCCTTCTCAGGGTGTTGTCCTTTCTTCTTCCTTCCTTCCTTCCCTGCCCTTCCTACCCTGAAGGCAGGGAGTAATCACAGGGTTGCTGTGGCTGGTGGTGGGCCAGCAGGCAGCCTTAGTGACCAGAAGGCAGCTGTGGCAGTGCACAGCAGCTCCCCAGCCCTGTGCTGAGGCTGTGTTCACGGGAGGCCGTTCTGAGGGGACAGGGCAGGCAGGCAGTGGTGGTGCGGGTAGGTCCCTGCAGCACGATTGTCAGCACCGCTACCTTAACCCAGACTCTGTCCACACTTCAGGTATGTGCAGCAGACGCAGGGCCTCCGCAGCCAGCTCTGGGGCGTTTGGAGTGTTCAGAGAGAGCTCTGTTCTCTTCCACTTGTTCACTTGCTGTGTGGGCTCAGCCTGGGTCACACACGGGTTTGCTTTGTCTGCAGAGTGAGGGACTGAGGTCTTCATGATTTGCCGTACTGGGAAATCTAGACCACCCGATTGTAAGGCAAGAGAGTCGGCCTCATCACGAGAAGAAGGGAGGATGGCAAGGCTGGATCCCCACAGCCCTGCCCACAGGTGGTGCCAAGCCCCAGGTCTCCATGTGCTCCTTCATCTTGAAGGTCTGCATGGCAGGGTGAATAGTAACTGGAAGGCATGGTCCTAAACTCATGGGGCTCCTTGTGGCTGATATATCAACTAAAATTCCTAGGACCCTGCTGAAGAGTGAATCTAGGGACCCCCGTTGTAGGTGGGAAACGGGTGTATTGTGAGAGTGAATTAGTTTTGCAGACTCAGTTGATTCGGATCCTGGTCATGTAGGACAGTTGTTGGAGCTGGTCTCCTTGTTTGTAGACTGTAGACAAAGCTACCTGAGCCTGCCAGAGGAGCTTAGAGTAAGGCTGAGCAAATAGCCAGGCCCTCTTCAGGAGTGGCAGGTTATGGGGCTGCTGTTGGACACAGTGGACTGTTGGGTGGACGAGGTCTTCAGTGCACACCCTTTGCCAGGGGTCCATGAGTAGGGACCTTAGCCTGGGGTCACTTCACCCCTACTTCGTATTCACTGTGTTATCTTTGTCACACAGGGCTGAGAACTACTGGTGGCGTGGTCAGAACACCCGGACGCTGTGCGTTGGACCCTTCCCTCGGAATGTGGTGACCTCCGTGGCTGGCCTGTCAGCCCAGGACATCAGCCAGCCTCTACAGAATAGCTTCATTCACACGGGGCATGGAGACAGCGACCCCCGGCACTGCTGGGGGTTCCCTGACAGGATTGATGAGTAAGTACCTGGACAGAGACTACCAGATACGGTCCTGGGCCCCTCACCACACCACACAGAAGCCCTCAGAGGTTCCAAAGATGGTGCTGTCTGTTACTGATGAGATGAAGGCTGTGAATAGGCTCTGAGCTTAGTGCTGCTCAAAGCAAGCAGTACCAGGAGCAGGCAAAGAGCATCCCCAAAGTCATTTTCCAAGGCCAGGAATGGTTAAGGTGTTAACTTTGTTGGCCTTTCCAGCCAAGTGGGGTCCATTGTGAAAGTTCCGGTCCCAGTATTTCCTATAGTGGATGGCTGCTGGGCAGCAGGATAGCCTTTGCCCTGGCTGTGGGTCGCCTGCGTAGATGCTGGCCCTCGAGCCATGCGTGTGCACATGATTTTCTATAGTCAGTTGCTTTTCTCTCTCGTGACAGGCTGCCAGCCTCAGGGACACAGATGCAAACTTTCCCCATCCCTGCGGCTTGTTGATCACTTGTCCTCGGGGATCCTTTGGTGTGGCACTTGGACCACATCCCTTTCTGTTGTGCGTCGTTTCTTCTCTGCTACTGTGTATGACATTTGCTCTCTCCCTTGCGATGACCCCTTCTGCTCTGGGTCAGAGGACAGTGCTGACTCTGCAGAGGGGAGCGAGAGGCAGTAGGCCTCACAGCCCTGCACGGTGCGTTGCAGCGTTTACCTCAGAATAGGTGTGTAGGTGTCTGAGGCATGAGTAAGTAGATCTCCTTTCTGGATTCTCTCTGCCCTCACTCCCCGCTGCAGGTCCTTAGCCGTACATCCTCCTGTGCTCTTCCTCACTTCTGTTCTCTTTTAGCTTCTTCTGTTCCGGAAGCCCTTCTACCAGAAGAGAGTAGGCTGTGGAGGTGGGGTGGGCCAGGTGTAGGTGACCGAGTGCTGAGGGTGCTCGGGGGTGGTGGGCCAGGGAGCTCTTTGCTGGGCCCCCAGCATTCTCTTCTCCCCAACACCACCCTGTGGGGCAGAGCTTCTCTGTCTGTGCACAGTTTTCCACTGTAAGTAAAATCAAGGTCAGAAAATCCCAGGGATGGACTTGTTTTTACTTGCCAAAAAGTCCCCTGTCACCCAGCAGACGAGGCACCACCTTCTGACACATGGGGAAGACACTTGGGAAGCAGTTCTCTAAGACATCTGCCTCTGAGCAACACTTTTTTTCCTTCAGGAGTTTCCAGAGTTGTGGAGCCCTGAACCTATGAGGTCAGGTGTCATGTCTATGCAGGTCCAGGTCCTTCAGGGGTTTCCAGAGTGTGGACCCTGAACTTATGAGGTCAGGGGTCATGTCTGTCCAGGTCCAGGTCCTTCAGGGGTTTCCAGAGTTGTGGACCTTGAACCTGTGAGGTCAGGGGTCATGTCTGCAGGTCCAGGCAGAAGGGAGTTTGTTTCCCAGTAGTGGGCACAGTCCTAGGGGATCTTAGGGAGCAGTGTTCCTCTAGTCTGCCCCAGCCCACTCTGTTTTGGGGAGGAGGGACGGGATGGAGATTCACAGTGTTTAGGTAAAGAGTAGGTAAAGAGTGAGATCCCTGGATCTGAGAAAGATACAGAATTAGGTACTTTATGGTACTCGGTCAGCTCTCCTGCTGGGTCTCTGTGACCCTTCTCCAGCTGCCTCCTCCTGAGAGTATGGTAAAATAGGCCTTTGTTTTTCCATACCCCACACTCCAGACCGATGGGCCCCTAGAGAGGCTCTGCCTCACAGGAACCAGGTAAGGGCCTCTGAAGAAAGGGGCCCTGCGCCCTGTGTCCCTCCCCTGTTGTGCCTTAGCCAGCCTAGCTCATTCTTTAGGCTTTAATCAGCTTCGGTGACTAAGCCCCAGGTCTCCGATAGTGACAGTTAGAGTAGGGCTGGGTGAGTGAGTGGGGAGCCTACCCGGCAGCTCAACCTCCTCCCCATTTCCTGTGGTTCAGCAGGAAGCTGCTTCCTGCCCACCCTTCTAGGGGCTAGCAGCAGGTGCTTCTCTTCAGTCTGGAGAACAAGAGTGTGCCAGCAGGTAGAAGCCTGGCATGGGTTTGGATGCTGTCAGGGTTATCAAGGGCACCTCTGCCCTTGTAAGGTATTGGAGTCCATGAAGGTACAGGCTTCTCAGCTTGGGTCAGGTGTGCTTACCCCGTGGGAGCCACCTCCCAAGGGATTGATCAGTACAGAGTCTGGGAGCCTTGTGACTCAGCTTCCTTTGAGTCTTAGTCTTTGCCTTGCTCACTAAACACTCAGGAAGGTTTTGTTTTGTTGTGGTTTTGGCCTTCATCTCCAGAGGTGTCTCCCCCACTGCTCTGCCTTCTGACCTGCTTCTCTCCCAACAGACTGTATCTGGGCAACCCCATGGACCCCCCTGACCTGCTGAGTGTGGAGCTGAGCACCTCCCGACCCACCCAGCATCTAGGAAGGCTGAAAAGTAAGAGCCCTCCCATTCCTTGGTGTTCCCAATTCACTGGCCACCCCAAGCCTGCTCTTCTGCTCTGAGGACAGTTGGGCCAGAGCAGCAGGTGGGACAGCTGGATTCCTGGCCCTGGCTGGGCGTGGGGTAGGGTAGGAGAGGAGAGGCAGCTGTATCCGCCGAGGTGGGTATCCTTGGGTTGGTCTGCATTGGCCCTGCAGCCTCAGCTTCCTCCTCCCTCCTTCACCAGGCTGTTCAGATCCTGGCTCCCATACTTGGCCTTAATCATGCTCTTCTCTCCCAAGCCAACACCCCACTCTGGGCTCCGTCTCAGCCAGGAGCCCCGTCCTCCTCCCAGATCCTGTGCCTGTCATTCTGGAACACAACTGTTCCATCCTGCCTCCCCGTTCCCTCCCACCTCCCATCTTCAGTTGGGTTTGTGCGTTTGCTCACTCCTGTTCACCTCTCTCTCTATTTCTCTCTCCTTCCCTCCCTCCCTTTCCCTTTCTCACCTGAACTCGTCCCTCTGTCTGGCTCCACCTCCCCCCTCATCCCTGCCCTGCTTGGTCACTCTTCTTTTCTGCCTCCCCTGTCCGCATGGCCTTTCCTACAGGGGAGCCTCCACCTCGCCCACCTCAGCCTGCCATCTTCACACAGAGTAAGTGGGGCTTCTCAGGATGCCTTGGCCCCTGCCCCCGCCCTCTCTCTCCTCTCACCTCTCCTCTCCTGGAAGGTACAGAGCCCCAGCGGCTGGCTGTGTGGAAGGGGAAGCGGGTGTGTGCTGTGAGCTTTTGCTGCTGAACTGGCCCGGCATGCCTGCCTCCCCGTCTGTGCCCTCAAAGATGATGCGGTCCTGCCGTGACTCGGCCAGCTCGTGCTTTTTCAGACATGCAGAGGTTGTGTCTTGATGTCAGGGTGGCATCAGGAGTCTGTCTTCTGAGGGAAGCTCCTGTTGGCCCGTGCCTGCTCTAACGGTGTGCCCCAGTAGAGGTGGAGCAAGGGGTTACTAACCAGACCAAGAGAGCAAGGAGTTCAGGGCTCTTGTGTTATGGCAGGAACATCAGAGTCAGGTGTGCGTGGGATGTTGGCCCGCTCTCGCTTGGGTAGAGTTGGGGGGCCTACATTGAGGCCTGAAGTCAGACAGCTGGCTCTGCCCTGTTTGAGCAGGGTCAGGTATGGTCTTGGTGCAGAGGCTAACCTCTGGGGAGTCGGTAGTGATGGGTCAGTGGGGGCTACTTGGTTGCATTTACATATCCTACCTCCCCTTGTTCCCCACTCATACCTGATACCATCTCCCTGTTGGGGTTTCCCTTTTTGTCACAGAGCCAACGTACGACCCTGTGAGTGAGGACCAAGACCCCCTGTCCAGCGACTTCAAGAAGCTGGGCCTGAGGAAGCCATCCCTGCCCCGAGGGCTGTGGCTCACAAAGCCCTCGGCCCGAGTGCCAGGCACCAAGGCAGGCCGCAGCAGTGGGGGCGAGGTCACACTCATCGACTTTGGCGAGGAGCCTGTGGTTCCAACCCCACGGCCCTGCGCACCCTCCTTGGCACAGTTGGCCATGGATGCCTGCTCCTTGCTGGACAAGACACCACCACAGAGCCCCACGCGGGCACTGCCACGGCCTTTACATCCCACACCTGTAGTGGACTGGGACGCTCGCCCGCTGCCCCCGCCCCCTGCCTATGACGATGTGGCCCAGGATGAGGATGACTTTGAGGTCTGCTCTATCAACAGCACGCTAGTGGGTGCAGGCCTCCCTGCTGGGCCGAGCCAGGGCGAGACCAATTATGCCTTTGTGCCGGAGCAGGCACAGCCGCCCCCTGCCCTGGAGGACAACCTGTTTCTTCCACCCCAGGGTGGCGGTAAGCCACCCAGCTCAGCCCAGACTGCAGAGATTTTCCAGGCACTGCAGCAGGAGTGTATGCGGCAGCTACAGGTCCCCACTGGCCAGCTGACCCCCTCCCCCACCCCAGGAGGTGATGACAAGCCCCAGGTGCCACCCCGGGTACCCATTCCCCCTCGGCCCACACGTCCACGTGTGGAGCTATCTCCAGCTCCCTCGGGTGAGGAAGAGACAAGCCGGTGGCCTGGACCTGCCTCCCCTCCCCGAGTGCCTCCCCGGGAACCCCTGTCCCCTCAAGGCTCAAGAACCCCAAGCCCCCTGGTGCCACCAGGCAGCTCTCCGTTACCACACCGGCTCTCTAGCTCACCTGGAAAGACCATGCCCACCACCCAAAGCTTTGCCTCAGACCCTAAATATGCCACGCCACAAGTGATCCAGGCTCCTGGCCCGCGGGCTGGCCCCTGTATCCTGCCCATTGTCCGCGATGGCAGGAAGGTCAGCAGTACTCACTACTACCTGCTACCTGAGCGCCCCCCTTATCTGGAGCGCTATCAGCGCTTCCTCCGGGAGGCCCAGAGCCCTGAAGAGCCAGCCTCCATGCCTGTGCCCCTGCTACTGCCCCCACCCAGTACCCCAGCCCCTGCTGCCCCCACTGCTACTGTTCGACCTATGCCTCAGGCTGCCCCAGACCCAAAGGCCAACTTCTCCACCAATAACAGCAACCCAGGGGCTCGGCCACCAGCCCTGAGGGCCACTGCTCGGCTGCCACAGAGGGGCTGCCCAGGGGATGGGCAAGAGGCTGCACGGCCAGCAGACAAGATCCAGATGGTGAGTGCTAGGCCCACTTCGAGGTGAAGGGCAGGGGTCTGAGGGTCCCAGAGGAATGGGCCCAAGTGGTGCTGATGGGTGGGTGTGCCCAGCTGCAGGCCATGGTGCATGGGGTGACCACAGAGGAGTGCCAGGCGGCCCTGCAGAGCCACAGCTGGAGTGTGCAGAGGGCTGCCCAGTATCTGAAGGTACCATCACTTCCTGCCTGCTCTGGCGTTGAGGGGCATTGAAAGCTGGTTCCGCTGTACCTGACCCTCCCCGCTGGCTCTGAGTCCTGTGTCCCGACTCTGGTCTGGTACCCCTTGCCCCAGGGTGTCCCATGGCACCACTACCCTTTGCCCCTCAGGTGGAGCAGCTCTTTGGACTGGGTCTTCGGCCACGGGTGGAGTGCCACAAAGTGCTAGAGATGTTTGACTGGAACCTGGAGCAAGCTGGCTGCCACCTTCTGGGTTCCTGTGGCCCTGCCCACCACAAGTGAGTGAGTCACACAACGCCCTAGCTCCCTCTCCCAGGAAGGCTGTCCTTGGGGAAAGCCACACATAGGTAGGGAGTCCCCAGCTGGAGGGGAGAGGGCAGGTGCAGGGCCCCAGAGGCAGGAGCTTTGTCTAGAACAAGGAACAAAATGAACTCAGACACTTGGTTTTTATCATGAGTGGAAGAGTCGCCTTAGGCCCTGGGTGGAGGAGGCGGACTTCCTGACCTCCTCTCTGGCTGCCCAAGTGCTTCATGGTGTAACATTTTAGTCCTGGTTGTTTAAGCAAATATTTCTTAGCTCTTGTACCATATTTCTGTTTAACGTGCCGGTTAGTACTGGGGAGGAGGGTGGCTCAGTGAATACGCTGCTTGTTGTACAGGCGTGAGAACCTGAGTTTAAATCCCCAAACCTGTGTGAAATATGGACATGTAACTTGTGCCTCTGTAATCCCGGTTCTCTTATGGGAGAGATGGGAGGCAGGGACAGAGTAACCCCCAGAAGTTTAAGGGCCTGCCAGCCTGGCACACCATAGCAGGAAAACAACAGAGACCCTGTCTCAAGAAGAGAGGCAAGGATCCATACCTGAGGATGTTCACTGATTTCTACATACCCACTGTGGCATGCACACCTGTATTCACACACAAACACACTCCCCTCCCACGCCCTTTTCTATATATGGTAATATTAATGCTTTTTGAAGGAATAAACATTCAAAGAAAATCTCATTGTTTTCTCACTAAAAGCTTATATATATATATATATATATATATATATATATATATGTAGTCATATAAAATAAAGCACACAGATTAATATTAATTGAAATCTTTATCAAGCCCCAAAGTGGTGAACAGGCAGACGTGAAACCAGTATCATCCCAGGAACCAGTGCGGCTCACTGGGCGCTGGGAGGCAGGCGCCTTGGGGTCTGCCAGTCTGTACCGCTCTTACACAGTGTAACTCTAAGCAGAGACAATCGGAAACACAATGGGAGAGGGCTGTGGCCTTCCAACACACTGGACAGGCACTCAGCCGGAGTATCTGCCAGTGGTTGTCCCTAATTTACATCCTGAGAAGACTGGGCTTCCTGTTGTGCTTAGATACTCCAGTACACAGTAGTACTCTTTCCTTAATTCAAAAGTTCATCAAGAAAGACACTTCACAGTAAGTTCTAAAACTGTTGCCTAAAATTTCCAGGTTATTTTTTGTTGTTTTCGTTTTGTTTTGTTTTTGCGTAGTGACCCTGAATTTCCCATAAGCTGTTTAGCTCATGTTGACAGATAAACTTTTTTGCTATTTCCCATCTTTCAGACGCTGATAGTTGTCTGGAGAACAACAGTCTGCCCTAAAGGAACCACTTGAACCTGTCTGTAGGACCAGGGTTGGGAGATGCCCATCTCAGGCCTGGAACACCCACAGCTTGGACCTACTGCTGCCTGTTGCTCCATGTGGACAGAGCAGGAGGCTGGGACTCTCTACCTTGCCCACCTCACTCACCCACCCAGCGCTGTTCTGCACAGCTTGGTTCAGCCCTCAGTGCCCCAGCCAAGAGGTGGGAAGGAGCCTTGTGAAGGCAAGACAGGAAGCTGCCTGGCAGGCCCTGTGTGTGTCCTGCCCCTGGCTCAAGATCAGGGCTGGGTTACTGGCTAGCGTGTGCCCCAGGCTTTGCCCTGGAGGACTAGACTAAGGAAGCCAGGCTTGACTTGGGCAAGAAGGATGTGTTGGCCGCACAGAAGGGTCGGCCAGCATCCAGCAGGCCCTTCCTAGGGCTGGGCCCTTTTCCAGGGAGCCCCTGTAGGCATTTGGAGTGTTGGACAGAATGTGACTTGTGGCTTCACTGTGAACTTGCAGACTTGGATGCTCCTAGGAGCTTGTACCTGGAGACAGTCTGAAGTGGCTCAGAAACAGAGAGAGAAATGGCAGCAGGTTCTCTGGCAGGGCCCAGGGCCCGAATTGGAAGGAGACCCCAGGGGCACCAGTACTTTGTTGTTTGACCCCTGCCCTTCCCCGTTGCTGTTCAATGTGTTCCCATCAGCCTCTGTTGCCAAAGTTGCTGTCCCAGCTCTGGATATCCGCTTCTTCCAGTGAAATAAATTCCGTTTCTATTTTATGTTACCCACTCCTGCCTGTCTGTTTCTTGTGTCCCTCGTCTCCACAGGCCATGGCTGTCCAGAGCAAGCAGCCTTTTATTACCCCCTACAGGCGGAGAGAGGAACTGCAGCCTGGCAGAGCCTTTTCCTGGGCCCTCTCAGAGCTGGCCCTCCTTTCCTCTCTGGTCTGGGAACGTCAGTCTTCTGAGGATCTGTTCCACTGCTTCTGAAGGGCAGGACACACTTCAGGAGACAGTCCAGTAGCTCAGCTAACGGGAACTAGGTCAGAAATGGATAGCATGCAGGGCTCCACTAGGGCCAAGTAATGTATTACATGGTTTCCAGTTTAGAAGGTACCGGGGAGCACAACAGAGCACCACCCCAACAGCCCACTTTCCCATCCCGCTTGCCCTTCCCACCTTTATCATGTTTCGTGTGCATTCCCCTCTCTTAAACGAGTGAATTTTTGAAAAATTTTGTAGGAATTTGGCTTGGCTCTTTTTCAGTCCTTAGCAATTACCGCCACTATGGCAGTCCTCTGGGTATACGGCTGCCTTCCGCTGGGTATATGGGCTGCCTTCCGCTGGGTATATGGGCTGCCTTCCGCTGGGTATACGGCTGCCTTCTGCTGGGTATACGACTGCCTTCCGCTGGGTATACGGCTGCCTTCCGCTGGGTATACGGCTGCCTTCCACTGGGTATATGGCTGCCTTCTGCTGGGTATACGGCTGCCTTCCGCTGGGTATATGGGCTGCCTTCCGCTGGGTATACGGCTGCCTTCCACTGGGTATATGGGCTGCCTTCCACTGGGTATACGGCTGCCTTCCACTGGGTATATGGGCTGCCTTCCACTGGGTATATGGCTGCCTTCTGCTGGGTATACGGCTGCCTTCCGCTGCGTATACGGCTGCCTTCCACTGGCAAGACTGGGTGACTGGGTGATGCATTGTGAGCAGCGGGTGGTGGTGGGGGCTGCAGAACTGTTCAGTGGTCACACTAGCAACGAGAACTGGCCATGTGGTATAGCTCCCTGCCTTCCCAGGCTGCCTGGTGGGCAAATGGGGTGACGGTTCTCGTTTACACGTCTCTCACTCATGAGTAAGGAGAGTTAAGTCAGTTGGATGCCTGGAGAGATGATGTTTCAGCAGTTAAAACTACGGCTCTAGCCGTGGTTCAGTTCCCAACGCTTACAGGACATCTGACACCTGATCTCTATATCAATACACATATATGCACATACATACATATATATGCTCCCAACACTTCCCCACTTTTTTTTTGCAACAGAATGTCCTTTTCTTACATTCAGAAATATCTTATAGATCTATCAATTTTCAACTCCATTTAAGAAGACAAAAATGCTGTGTGAGTTGTCAGCATGTAAGACTCTGTCATTGAGGATGTGTTTCAAGAAGGGCTTTTGCAGGGGCAGGACGCCAGAGCAGCTGCAACTCCCGCGTGTGTGTGTGTGTGTGTGTGTGTGTGTGTGTGTGTGTGTAATGCAGCTTGGGCTGTGTTTCCTAAACTCCAGGCCTTCCTGCTGGCTTCCTGCAATCCACCTGCCAGTTCGCGTAGCATCTCTGTGTGTAGCAGAAGCGGATCTGGGTTTACCAACCCAGGGAATCAACTGAGGATTTGTTGGGCAATCTGTCAGCCTCACTGAGAGAACACAAGCTGAATAGACAGTCTGTGCCCCTGGGAAAGAGTGACGTCATCACGGCAAGTTGGTGAATCTCTGTAGTCATTGTGTGTGTAGGGAGATGGCTCCCCAGAATGTGACTCTTCCTGACTTAGGGGGAGCAGGGAGTGAGGGTCATAGTGTTTCAGTGGTTAGCTGCTAGCTCACAGTGTGGACTGGTTTGCTCCCGAGTCCTTTTTCTTCCTGTTTGGGGGCTTCTCATATCCTGGTGAACGACAGGTCTCAGTCCTGAAGCTGCTGGGTTCCTTTGAATCTGTAGACAGGTGTTGGAATTTCTCTTTACACTGGATGGATCTGCTTAACAGTAGCTAACGTAGCCAAAAGGAAAGAAAAACCTAGCACGGGCCCCCTTGCAGGCAAAAGGTATTTTTAATTTGAAGCTAGTTAATTTCTCCAGAACTCTGAACTTGGAGAATTGCCCCTGCGCTCCTCAAAGGCTGTCACAGGGCTGACAGGTTTTGGATGAAATGGTAAAATCAAGAACTAAAGGGTGAGGATTTTCTTTAAATGTGTCCGTTTCTAAAACACTTTCCCTCCGTTTTTCGTGATAGCGGTAGCATTAGCTAGCGACCTTGTGTTCGGATGCTCCGACTGCATCGAGGGTTGCTTGAACCCCTAAGCAATCGCTTCTTGTGTCAGCAGTGCCACCTGTCTGAAAACGGAGACACCGCATCCTTGAGTAAATCTGAGAGCCAACGAGGACTAGGATTGCCGGAAGTCATTGTCCGGCACACCATTTAAGAGTCCAAGAAGAAATGAGTCCCTGGGCCTTTGCTGTTAATAAACAGTTTATATGCCTGTGGAAAAGAAAAAAGAAAAAGAGTCCAAAACCAGCCGGGCAGTGTGCACACCTTTAATCCCAGCACTCGGGAGGCAGAGGCAGGGGGATCTCTGTGAATTTGAGATCAGCCTGGTCTACAGAGCGAGTTCCAGGATGGCCAGGGCTACACAGAGAAACCCTTTCTTGAAAAACAAAACAAGCAAACAACAAAAAAAGTCCAAACTCTGCTTGCTTAGGGCCATGGGTGCTTTAGGGACTCAGCCCGGGGAAAGTTGGGAGGGAATGGGTTTGCTCACCATCTGGTACCAAGGTAAAGAGAAAGGACATTAGAATCCTGCCTGTTTCTGTGATGGTTGGGATGCTCTGAAATGTGGCCTCCCAGCCGTGTGCTAGGACTCTGGGGACTTGGGGAGCATGCAGACCCTCCCCCAGGAAGTCCTGGCACCACCCCACTTGGGGTGCTTGGGTCTCCGCTGTATTTGTCTCCTTTGTTCTTTTTATGACTTTCATAACACCCACTGTGGAATTGGCAGAGCACAATGAGAAAAATATGTAGATTAGTTTTATCTGTGTACATATGTACGTATTATCTTATAAAAACAAGGGCATTGACATGAATCAGTTACAAGATACTGCGTGTGTGTGTGTGTGTGTGTTTCGGGATAGGGTTTCTCTGTGTAGCTCTGGCTGTCTGGAACTCACACTCACAGAGATCCTCCTGCCTCTGCCTCTGCCTCCTTGCTGGGATTAAAGGTGTGCGTCACCACTCCCGGCTAGCTGCTTATTTTTAAAGATGTATTTATTTTTATTTTATATGTATGAGTGTTTGTCTGTACGTCTGTGCACCACATGTCTGTCTGGCACCATCTGAGATGAGAAGAAGATATCGGCTCCTCTGGAACTGGGTTATAGGTCACTGTGAGCCTCCAGATGAGTGCTGGGAACTGACCATGGTGCCTGAGCAAGAGTAGCAGGTGCTCTTAATCACCGAGCCCTCTCTCTCTCCAGCCCTCTAAACTGCTTTTAAGTTGTTCACATTTTCTGCTGCTCATCTTCATCTTGAACGCCCTGGAAACACTACATACTTTGCATTTTATGGATAAACTCTTGTTGTGTAATGCATTATTTGTTAGCATTTTTCTTTTTCTTTCTTTTTGTTTTTGTTTTTCGAGGCAGGGTTTCTCTGTAGCTTTGGACCTGCCCAGGAACTAACTCTTGTAGACCAGGCTGGCCTCGAACTCACAGAGATCTATCTGCCTCTGTCTCCTGAGTGCTGGGATTAAAGGCATGTACCACCACCGCCCGGCTAGCATTTTTATTTTTTAATGAGTTACTTTTTAATAAGATTTACTTATTATGTATATACAGTGTTCTGCCCACATGTGTGCCTGTAATGCAGGCCAAAAGAGGACACCAGAACATATGATGGTTGTGAGCCACTTTGTGGGTGCCGGGAATTGAACTCATGACCTCTGGAAGAGCAGTCAGTGCTCTTAAACTCTGAGCCATCTCTTCAGCCCCTTAATTATTTTTTAAACAAGTTTATAAATGTATTTTCAGGAAAATAATCTTCTTTCCTATAGTCTGCATGTTTCCAAGTAAAGGACTTAGATTCTCAAGGTATTTTAAAGAGTCTTGGGAATGGTAGATTGGATGGTCTAGCTGCCTGGAAGGCTCCTTCCAAGGCTGGAGGGTGGTGGCTGTCGATTGGTAGAGCTCAGCTCCCAAGGCTGCCCGACTTCCCCACAGCTCACCAGGTGGGGAGATGCCCTTGGCTCAGCTGTCTCTCTGGAGCTGTCCTTTTGAAGATGTCTCCCTGCTCCTACTGCCACCCTCAGGATTGCCCCAAGGGCTTCTTTCCCCTGGAACATTCTCATTCTGTCATCTGAGGAAGGGACAAAACCACCTGTTCCCAGGAATCCTGAAAACCCCTGCAGTGCTCCCGTGGGAGCCCCTCCCCACCCCAGGGGAGGTTTGGTTACCCCATGGCCAATGTCAGTGGTCACATGAGGCCCAGCACCTGAAGCCAGCAGCACCTGGAAGCCCTACCCTGGACTCGCTCCACTGAAATCCGTGTTACCCAGATCTCCAGACAGAGTAGCTGTGCAAAGCTTTGAATGAGGGTGGCTCTGCCCTGACCCCACAGAGCTGGCAGGCCTTGGAGGAGCCTGCCTGGCTCCAGGAGGCCCCCCTCCAGCTCTGCCCATCATCTCCCAGTGCCCTCAGGTCCTGGCAACCACCATTTTGCTTTCTGTTCCTAGGATTTTTGCTACATTAAGCACTTCCTTATAAGTAGAGCTATGCTCTATTGGTCCTCCCGTGTCTGACCCGGTGTCTCCCTAGTGGCTTCTCTCGGGGTGTCTATGGCCATTATAAAGCACAGGAGAATCTGTGCTCCATGCCACCCCCAAAGATGCTGCTTTACCCACTCCCATTTCTTTGAGGAAACACATTTCAGAAGTTTGGGGGGGTGTTGTTTTTGTACACGAGTTCTCGCTGTGTCCCCCTGATGACCTCAAACTCCTAAATCTCCTGCCTTGGCCTCCAAGGGT